CATATCTAGAAAATATGTATTTTATTAAAGATATTGTTAACTGAATTATAAATGTTTATGAAATAATTGATTTGATATTTGCAAGATGTTGAAAATGCAATACCGTTTTCGAAATTAGTCCTAGTATCCTAGTATCATTATGTTTAATTACCATTTTAGTGAACTTAAATAAATCGAAAATATTATTGGTTTAAATAGAATACCTATTACCTATTACCTTGGATACTGTAATTAATTGACAAATCAATTAATAGAATAACTTATTTATTGCATATTCCAATAAAAAATGTAAATGATTTTGAATATTTTCATTTCTATTCTGTCCCTATTAAACATCAGAGTCTATTTAATGACGTCAATGTACCTATGTCCACAAGGAAATGTTAAAGAACTTGGAACGAAGAGCCCTTGCGAAGTTCAGTTAATGCAATCAGATCTACGTCACTGTTAGCAGACCAATATTTCCAACTGAACTGCAGCTGCAATTGCAGTTGGAAATATTTATGCTGTAATCTTGTGAACTTGTAATTCCAAAATAAAGTTATTTTTTAAAAATCGGCAACAACGGTCTACTTAGTTAATTTTACGCATGAAACGTTAACTGTAAAAATCGCCTACCAAGTTTTGCCCATCAATGAATACTTAATAATCTGTGGTATAGTTGCAAAAAATACAGACCAATAGCATTTTCATTATGAAAATTTAGAATAATGCTATTTCTTCGAGAAAAAATTGCGTTCTTTGCGATGCTTATATTCCATGTTCCCAAAAAAATATTCGTCGGTCTGTAAGCGCTTCACCAAAAGGCTTGGCCGAATGTGCAAACGACGATTTTTTTAAATGTAATCGTTGAAAAATATTCGAATCTTCTTACGCGACTCATACAGGGCGTTTCATGCTCCAACGCTGAATTATTATTCAAGAAAAAAGGAAAAAATGCCTAGATTCCAAATACATTTTTAAAAATGTTCAATATTGCTTGCCCAATTTTGTTGAAATTTGGTAACGTCGTTTATATTGACAAAGGACTACATTTTCTTTAACTTGATTAAAATTTACAAGTCCAGTGCGGCCCGGGAGATATCCTAACCATTATTATTGTCCAACGGATGTGCGCCGCTGACTTTTAGCAAGTTTTGTTATTTGCTTCGAATAAGCCACTAAAAATACAACTTTTTTGACTCTCTCTGCGAAAAAATAAAAATGACGAATGCGAACGTATTGCTTGTGAAGGTCCATGAAAGATTGCTTGAATATGCAAACGAATTAAGAGCGACTTTATATCTGGTGAAAAAATAATAAACTTAAAATTAACATTGAGAAGTGGAATGTCGTGTCTTTCACTAAAAAAACACAACCATTTTATTTTAATTATGGTTTGGGCAGAGAGCATATTGTACAGTCTGGCACTTTTAAAGGCCTAGAAAATGCTTGGTTTTAGATTTTAACCAGATTGTAGCTGCAAAATTGTTATACAATAGCTTTGTTCTTTCTAAGCTCGAGTACGCTACTGGTTTATAAAGTGCATATTTCTGATATTGAAGGTGTTCAAATTAAATTTTTAACAAAACAGCGTTTATCTTCTTTAAGGGTGGGACCACGATGAGCTTTTATATGGTACGATAATTTTCATTTGTTATTCTTATAAAAGTTTGTCAAAATAAAATTGATTACCATTCTTTACTACCGATTCTAAAATTCTCATTTCCACTTCGTTTCCGTTTGTCTATTTTTATATAAATTGAGCAAATTATATTCGACCTGGTAAATCTTGAGGCAATCGCTGCTGCACCAGAGTATAATAATATGGATGGATGTTTTTCTTTTCTTAAAATTCTGTAAATTATTGCTGATTAACTTATCGTAGCACTTAACCGACGAGTACTCAAACCTGGATTTTCCAAAACGCGAATTAAAATTTCGACTTAATTAATTAATGAAATACCTATAACTTTTTAAATTCAGACAGATAAAAAAATGATCTAAATAATAAGGTGAAAGTCGTTAGTCTAGAAGTAACGTCCAAATGAGTTTGCCAGTTTTTATTATTAAACTTTCTGAAATAACAATTTCATGATAAAATTTAAAACTTGAATGTCTCCTAAACCAGGAGCATTTGGCATGGGCTAAACCGTAGTATTTCGGTGTCTAGTATGTTCAATTTAGAGATTGTCCATTCTTTGTGAATCACCCTGTACAATTACAAAACAGAAATTACATTAACACGATCCTCTAAAAATTTTCAATATTGACTTGGCCATGATTTTCTTAGCACGTTTAATATTCAGCTACGTTGGAAATAAAAATTAAAATAGAGCGCGCTGAAAACTGATCGCAAACATCGTAAAAATAGAAATGTTTTAACCAAAAACCTCCGCTCTCGAAAATGGAAATCGTAATTAAGGATTGCAACTATTTTTAAGCGCTGGCAAGGCGCACAAACGCAATTTGCTTCCTTTCAGTCTTTCTAGGATTCGCATTCATTTTGAGACACTCGTTTATCGCAGAAAGTTAACGGCCTAAAAATGTCTGACATTTTTATTTTTTATTTACCGTCCAAAAACTAGAGTTTCTCTTCGCCACGTAAGCATAGAGGTCATTTATGGAATTTAGGCGGTAATAAATATAAAACATAGAAATCTCAGGGTTTAACTGAATTTAAGTTGCGTAAGTGCTTTGGATATGTTAATTATTAGTTTTAATTTGTATTTACGTGTATTTCAAATCTTACTATTTACTTAGTAGTAAGTAATTTAAGCAAATATACACCTGAAATATCTCTAGGTGTTAGGCTCAAATAATTTCTGTAAAATTAATTTTTACTTTTTACGTACGTACCCACCACTAAAAAATTATGCTCTACTGTACCAGATTTTTGAGAATCGCCAATGTTTTCTATATTTCTATATTTTCTATATGCTCGCACCAAAGAGCAAAAATATTGTTTTACAGAGCCAGCCACTTCTTGGCACCCAAATTGGAAATTTATATATATATATATATATATATATATATATATATATATATATATATATATATATATATATATATATATATATATATATATATATATATATATATATATATATATATATATATATATATATATATATATATATATATATATATATATATATATATATATATATATATATATATATATATATATATATATATATATGTATATATATATATATATATATATATTCTCACGTATTGATTCACGGATGGAAAAATGTGATACTCCGGGATATCATCCGTTCGCTCGTTGAACTCCGACTGGAATCCTGCATCCGACTGGAATCCTGCAAATCCTGCATCCGACTGGAATCCTGCAGACGTTTCGCCAAAATCTCACTTGGCATCTTCAATGCAGGATTTGCAGGATTCCAGTCGGATGCAGGATTCCAGTCGGAGTTCAACGAGCGAACGGATGATATCCCGGATAGTGTCATATATATATATATATATATATATATATATATATATATATATATATATATATATATATATATATATATATATATATATATATATATATATATATATATATATATATATATATATATATATATATATATATATATATATATATATATATATATATATATATATATAATTTTATATTATATATATTCGTTATAAAAATATACACTAATAATTATCCTTGTCTTCTGTGTTGTCTTTTATAATCCCAGATAAATTCATGAAATTTGATCGTTCTAATCATTGAGGTTGAGGTGCATTTTTTAATGTAAAGAAAAAAAATAGTACGCCACTGCTTTTTATAGATACTGAACTTGTTTTTGGAATCCTCATTTTTTAAGCAAATTTGGTCGGTTATAACTAAAAAATAGAAACCGCCAAAAGCTTTTAATCAAAAACACGTGTCAAACACAAAAATGAAAAATATTTAATGTATATTTTAATATAGATGACATGCTGTAGGTGTGCGATTTTATTATATTATATTTTATTTCATTCGATGGAAACAATTTTTTTTTTTTTAATCACAATTTTACACGCATTCTTTTGATATTATTTTTGAAGTCCTCGTTTTGTGGACTAATTTGGTAGATTAACTTTCGTTTTCGTGAAATAAAAAATAGAAAATAAAAACTACTTATCAAACGTGATAAAAAATAAAGAACATATATTTTTATACTTGAAATTAAATTTTATCGTTTCAATCGCTCTCGCACAAATAAAACAATGATACGCCACTGCTTTTTCCAAAAACTGAAATTATTATTGATAACTTTTTTTTTCGCAATATATAAAAGTAAAACCACCAAAAGCGTTTAACCAAAAAAACACGCGTGAAAAACAAAATTTAAAAATATTTAATAAATGTGACAAAAAATAATGAATATATATTGCGATATTTTATAAGTTTCAAAAAAATAATAAAAAATTTTGGTGACAATTTTTCTGCTTTTTCAGATACTTTGAGGAGCATGTTTTGATGTTAAAGATTTTTCTTAATTTTAGCCAACAAAAATGTTGCGCTTTATCTAAAAACTATTTTTTTTAAATCCTTATTTTCAAAAAAAAAATGGTTCATTTGGATTTACCTCCGTTTTCGATAAATAAAAAAACAACAAAAAATAAAAAAAATACTTCTTTAAGGAATTATATTTTTTATAGTTGTAAAATATAGGCTGTTCATAAGCGTTAATCCTTATAAAAAAAAGTTGATATCAACATACGTAGTAAACCCCTTAGTTTTAATACTACATGGCGTTGAATTTCCACGAAAAAATAATCATATCATTGAAGAGCATTTTTTGGCATTAAAAAAAGTAGTACGCAACTGTTTTTTCTAAAAACTGAAATTATTTTTGAAAGCCTCATTTTCGAGGCAATTTAGGCAACCGAGACTTGCTTTTCTTTTCGCGAAATAAAAACTAAAAACCACTAAAAGCATTTAGCCAAAAACACGGGCGAAAACGGATGGGGTTAGAAATTAAATCAAAAACGAGAAAAAAACACACCCTTACCGATGTCGTGTACGAGGAGTACGCAGGGGAAGACCGATAAGGCCTTCTGGTGGTGTAAAAATCGGAATCATAAACCATGGTGGTAGGTAAGCGACAAATGAGGGCGGCAAAAAGGCGACAGGAGGTACTAAAAAACAGATCGGCGTCTCGAGATGTTAAAAGCTGGACTGGCTCAGCAACGCGTAGCCTCCCGGGATTTTAACATAAAACTTTCAACTGTGACGTACTTGAGTCTATTTATAATTGGGAAATATTATTCGCATTAAACGGCGCGACTTTTTTCGCTTGCCTGATTAATTCCCAACTTTTCGCTCAATGAGTGTGTAGGGATTTCGTAGGATGTTTTCTCTAGTAAATGACGCAATTCCATAAGGTTCTAAAAATAACAAAGGCTAATATAATGAAAAAAAGTAATTGGTGCCACCAATCCAACAACTGATTTTAAATGTTCTTAAAGTGTCGATTCCAAATTCCAGATTTTTTTCTATCGGTTCTAATTCTAATTGATAAAGGAAAGTATGGTAACTAAGGCAAGCGAGTTTGCTGTGAAGAAAATTGTTTGCCGTCAAAATTTTAACATTCCTACTTTAGTGTCGTCATATTTCAAGGATAACTTTTTTTATATATAAATCCTTGAGTCAAACTTACTTTCTTCTTTCCTAATATCGCGTATCCTATATTAGGATAGCACATATCCGATATTAAGAATCAGTTGGCCAAAAATGCGTTCAAATATGTCTTTACAAAATGCAGCATTTTAAAGAACATAAAGAGCGTAAAAGAACCACATGAGAAAGAAATTTAAATTGTGCTTTCAGAAGAAGAGTGACTTAGATTCATTAAAAAAAGTTATGCAGATACCATGACACCTTTGATAAATAGCTCATTCCACTTCAAGCACATAAAAGAACCTTGTAATATCTATAGACACTAGTCCTGTGTCCAGTTGTTCTTACACGGCTACCGGTAAGAAAAAAAGGCGTGTATCAACTACTCCAAGCACAAACGCAAGATGTTAGCCAAAAAACTCAACCCAATGTATTTCCAGTAGTGTTGAACCAAAAGAGTCAAGAAATAAAAATAAAGGTTAAGCAGAATCCAAAGAATGATTATTCTTGGCAATGGAAATGAGGAAATGGTTAAACGAGTTTCACGCTGTCATATTTATAGAGATGAGGAAAACACTGAGTTTATATACTGCAACAACCTCTTTTTGGAGGACACAACATGATATAATATGATCTTTATTGACTACGTTTTACAAAATAGTAATTGTAGCAAGTGAAAAATTCACAAGTAGTATTAAAAGAAACGTGTATATAAATGTGAATTTTGTCAAATATAAATCAAACAGGCATCAAACAACAACAAGAATATCGAAAATAATTAATATTAAACAACAACAAAAAAACAAATCTAGCAGTGGAACTACTAAATAATACTGTGTTAGATTATACTTTTCTTTAAATTCAACAATAGAGTAAAAAAAGTGAACGAGTAGATATTCTTTTGCTTTCTTTTTAAATGATACGTCATCTAAGAATCTTATGTTGAAGCTCAGTAAATTATATAAACCAAAATCACGACCATTGTCGATGGACATTTTCAATTTTAGACAACGTTTTAGTAAATAATCGCCAAATCTGCTATGATAATTATGATTGTCGGAATGTTTAAGAATAGACAATTTATTGAATATGAAACAACTGTTGACACAACCGAGCATAATCTTATAAACCACCATGGCTGACACTGACCACGGTAGCCATTTCTAGCGGTAGGTTCTATTGCTTGTTTCTGCAATTTAAAAATATCACAAGAAGGCGAAGTATTACTCAACAGTACTGATGCATAACTTAAATAAGAATGCAATAGAGAGCACTATAAATAAGTCCTTATCATCAATCAACTTTCTTAGTCGCCCAAGAACAAACAGTCTACGACATGCTCAAGCAAAACTACCATTCATAGTTGCTTTCTTATTCGCATTCTGTTTCGTCCCGACTTACTTTTGTGTGTTGCAATTATTGTACTGTATTGTTGTGTCAAACTTTTGCCTAAAATTTTAATAGATTTTTGTTTTCACTCTGTACCTGCCTCGTTTTTTGGTTCGGATGTTCCGTGTTCCACGAGAACGATCTAAATACGCCGACCGGTACGACAGCGTTCTTCGGCAAGTTGGACGTGTTCTGAAACGCAATTCGCTTTTCGTTTTTTCTGTTTTTTTCGATCGTAGTGTTTCCTCACTAATAGTTACCCCTCTAAATTAAGTTTCCCACACCCTCGAGCACCCGAAGAAAAGGCGGATCCTCAAGAACTGGAGCCCGAGGTACAGTTGTTCAAAAGGTCCAATAATTTATGTCTCTGACTATCGCGATCATAGACAATCGAATATTTGGTCCTTCGGTCGCGAATAATTCGGGACTTTTTTTTGATTCGACTCATACATGTTTTGATACAAAATTAATACTCTATGAATTACTTGATCTTATTATTTCAATACAATAATATTATTATGCTATATATTTTTTTATTTATAGTATCAAACAAATTGATATATATATATATATATATATATATATATATATATATATATATATATATATATATATATATATATATATATATATATCGCTAAAATAACCGATAAGTTACAGTAAAGGTAAAGTGAAAAAGCATATTCGGATTGCAGTGCTTGGTTTATTTAATTTGTATAAACAAGTTGAAATTATTCGAGAACAATTTTTTAAACTACGTAATTTAATTCATGGCTGGACATCTGAGGATCCCAAGAATTTTAAACAACACATTTCCTAATAAAGCTTCACGTCCACTCATGCGACTTTAGGTTAGTACAAATGTTATTAAAACGCATCGATATTTCGATAGCTACTAAATTTGAGTTTCAGCATGACATGCTACATCAACGTATAATCAATTAAAGTATTGTTTAAACATTGTGCTGCTTCGCAAAATTTTGAAACTAGTAAAGATTGTATATTTCCTAAAAAAATGTTTCTACGAAACCATTGCATTCGCCCGTGTTAATAGTTTATTAACAAATCATCCTCGAGATACTGTTATTAAAATGTGTATAATCTGTCAATCCCTCGATGACCGTTTATGATCAAACTGTTTAAGCAATGGTCGTTCAATTAAATCTTGCAAATTGATCCATATTTGTTCTAAATGCAAACGAAAACATCACACTTTATTACATTTGTCCATCCAAACAATAGACACAAATTCCACTAGTTTTTAAAAATTATTGGAATTAGTGAAAATTATGCTTTCAAATAACTTCACAGTCACCTAGATCGCTTTCCAGAAAACGTAAGTGGTTGTAGTGAAGAACAGAAGGAAATATTCTGTCAATACATAGAAATTATGGAAGGTCGTTATCAAAAACGATTGAGTACTAAGGGCTGTGTAATAATGTAAAATGCATATAGCTATAAGATAATATAATCTCCCTACCACGGTAAGAATTGATGCACCGCAGGTGGCTATGATTTTTTTGTAGAGAAGGTATGGATCTTCGTCACCCATACTTACTGAGTTGCTACATTGTAGTAATTTTTATGGAAAATTAAGTAATGCCATTATTGTTTTTATTTTTTGTGTCAATATCTCCTTAAGGCAAACCTGTATAATTCGTGCATTCAATACTTTGTTCTTTCACGAAATTCTAGCAAAGGATCTTTGAGTAATATATAAAACAAATATAAGAAACATCCTTTGTCAATTACTGTCTATAGGAGGTGCTTCTTGAACATTTTTTTACTTAGATGTTTCATGATGTAAGTTTATGAAAACTAACGCTTTGCGCCGATTTACAAAAAAAATAGTTTACATAAAAAAATATATATTGAAATTGCGTCGTACATACAGGCCTTGAAGAACAAAAACATCAAATTAATTACAGAATTATACTGAAGCCGACATGCACTGCACGCCAGACCTTAACTGCTCCTAACTTTTTTGTCTGAAAATTTAATAGGATTTCGACATATTTTGGGAAAATACTGCCGTAGAAATGCCGCATTCAAACATCGACGAGCTGTCAGCGTCCATGTTGTTTGTTGAATGTCGCAAGGTCTTATGGGTCCAACTTCAGAATTTGCAATTAGAGCTAATATTGGTTGAAAACGAAATTTTAAATCTCGCGCATGCGAACGTTGAATGGACCCTCTAAAAAAAAAAATACATAGTTGCTTCATGAGTTCCTGTACTGTCAGCATCGGAAGGGCTTCTATATGTCTAGTAGCAATATGGCAAAATTTAAAGTAGTTTTTTTTTATTGACAACAATAATATAACAGTTATATCATAAAATATACACAAGTTAAAAACATAAAATGTTAAACTAAATCTGATAGACAAAATCTGATCTCTCTTTTGGATTCTACACCCAAAAGTTACCCAGAAGCGGTTAAAAAGTTTTAAGAAAAATGTCTGTTCGGCTGTGTATTAGATCGGAAATAAGGTTCATCGTGATTTCATCATCATCGTTAGCTTTTTTCAAATCTATTACCGGAAAGCGGCACAAAAAAGAGAAATTTCTTGTTATGGGAGAAGTACTTTTTTAAATGCATGTTTTCAGTAAGCCAAATACCAGAAGCCAATTTTACAAAGTATGGCTTTAAAACTTCTTCTTTCTTAGCAGCGTGTTTAATATTACTAGTCGTTTTGCCTCTAAAGTATGCAGTATGACAATTATCATTTCGTTTATTTTGGTATTCATATAACGTGAAACATGCAACATGCACATGGAAAGAATTTATAATTGAAGTTTAGCAAATGTAGCAAAAAGGGAAAACAGAGGATTTTGTTTCGCCAATGGTTTGCAGTTTTTTACTTTCCTGAGGTATATAAATGCTAAATGCAGAATTATCATTTGAATTATTGATAATATTATTAGTAAAAATTACAATAGTAGCAAAATAAATAAGTATATAAAAATATCGCCCAATGGGAAAATAAAATGATTAATAATTCAGATATAATGCTTAACCTCCAATTAAAGTCTCGTTTTTGAATAATAAATCTATCTCAAATATTTGGAAACACACAGAAATTTTGTCAAGATTAAAGCAAATGCTTTCGTCAGTTGTGAATGAAGCCCAGTAGCCGAAAGCAATTACTTTATAAGTAAGTACCAACCTGTTTAGGAAACACAGGTTGTCAAATTTACTTACG